ATTCATCTGTCATTTTTATTATATTTATATCATATACAATATTTTAATTTTTGCTTTCGTTTCGAGGTATTACGCGCTAATACTATAATACATATATTTTTACTTTCATCTTTTGAGGGACCAGTTAGTTTCTTTGATTCATAGTTTCATAGTGGGTGGAAGGCGGTCCAAAAATAAAAACAGAAACGAAAGTTATTATTAAGATCCTTGACTTTGCCAATCGGAAATTCCAGTGAAAGTAAAAAGCTTAACAGATCGAAAGTGCAAAAGAAAATAAAGAAAGAGAAAGGTCAGGATATGAAAGCGTAGTTGTGTCTAAGCAAGAAGTGAAAAGAAACATAAGAAGATCTCAAATGAGTGTGCGTGCTTATGTTAGAAAAAGAAAAAGAAAGAGAAAGAAAGAGAGAGAGAGAGAAAGAGAGAGAGAGCGAGAAAGAGAGAGAGAGAGAGGAGACAAAAAATATTTTCTGATTGCACGATTGTAAATACGTATGTATGTTATCTATATATGTATATACATACATGCCTATACATACACGATATCTTAATTCACACTCACACACATAGAAGTATGCCTGGAACCAAGAAGTAGTAGCTCCAGGGCAACTTTCACTGATCGTTTCGCCATATCTTTGGAAGCGGCGGCGGCTTCGAATTTCTTACAAGTCATCTCAAACATTATGATATTACGTTGGATAAGGATTGAGTGAAGTACAAAACCTATTGTGTATTTATTTATCTTTTTTTTTCTAAGAGTATTGGATAAGAAAAAGAAACAATGAAAGGATGTTCAGGGAATTTTGTAAATTTTGAAAGATTAGAAGAGGAAATAAGGACATAGAGAGAGAGAAAGAAAAAAAGAGAGTGAGAGTGAAAGAGTACATTGAAAGGTGGTTCGGTCAACGAAATTCGTACGCAAATACTTCGTCAGTCGTTGACGGGAGACCGCGAGGTTACCTACGACTTTTGTCGTACTCAAAGTTAATTTTTTTCATCGATAACTGTGGTGCAGTGAAATATGAATATATTTTTATTATTAATTGTTCTTTTGCTTTTTCCCCATTATGACCAACCGATCGAGTTTTTTTCTATTTAATTTTTCTCTTTCAATTCAATTTATTCATTTCGTTTTGTTCTTTTTTATCATATCATGAGCTTTGGTGGCGGTGTTAATTTGTGATCAATTTTTTTTAATAGCGATATTTTGACTTTCGAATTAGAAAATTTGAATATTGCATGTATCTTTAAACAGGGAGATTGGAGAAAGTTGATACATTTTTTATGATTTTAAATTTCGATAATGTTTTTGATTTAATTAATTATTTTTTATTTAATAATTACTTTATAAAGTATATATATATTTATTTTGACATTTTCTTTTTAAATATGGAAAGTGAAACTTTCTATAAAATAAAATTTAGCTATACGTATGTATTATCATAATGTAATATATCAAAAAAGATCAAAATTAATTTTCCATCTTACACAAAATCATAGAATGTTGATTTTACCAGTTATCTGTGGCGATCTTTTTGAAAAATGAAACGATGACGAGTATACTCATTGAACATAGAGTATATGTAGCTGTTATAATATTGAATATTAAGTTGTATTCAAATAATTGTTTTATTTATTACTAACATTTATTTATTTGCTTTATTTAAACGTTATTGTTTCTTTTTATTTTTTCTTTTACGAATTCGTCTAACTTCTCTACGAGAACCTTCTCACACCTATTCAAATCTGTCCAATTATTACCAAAGATGTTGTATCTTTTTACAGCCTTTCTGAAGTCAACAGAACTTAATTTTTGCTTTTTTTTAGTGATCTGACGGAAAGTAGTAATTTTATGCTGAAGTAGAAGTAGAAACATATTTATTTTAGGTAGATAAGTAATCCAACGTGGCTAAGCCATTTTGAAGCCTGCTTTATTTAAACATATAGTTTGCATATGAAAGAAAAATAATAACAAAAATCAATTACTTAGAAAAATAATTAGTTAGAAATGTAATTTGCTGTTATTGAATGATATTGAGTAAAACCAAATTTAATACAGAATGACACTTCGCACACAAGTCAAACATTGATTCTTAATTGTTTTTAATATTATTTTTCTTATAATATATATTATATATTCTTTTGATCGCATCAATAATTCAGTCTTAATTTTTTCTGAAAACAAATTATCTTCAAAAAATGGCTGTTGTTATTTATAATATCAAAAGTATGTAAAGTAGTATTGAAAGCTAGTGGTCGCTATTTCGATAAAGCTAAAATTTCAATATTTTATATACATTCTGTAAGTTTCTGTCTATTTTTTCGTAATATTTCTAAAAAATTCGATTTATATTTGTAATTTTATCACGAAAATAAACGATTGATAATTTATTCCCTTTATTTAATCAGAAAATTTTTGAATTTTTCTCTACGTGGTAAAATAATTTTGACCGGTAATGTATATATGCATAAATGAGACATTGTTAATTAAATATGATCGACAGAGTGGGCATACAAAAAATTCAATATATTGGGTTGGCAATTAAGCTACTACGGATTTTAAATAAGAAGGAAAATTCAAGATTTTTGCTGAAAAATATAACTTTATTTAATTAGGTACTGTCCGTTTTTGTCGATGACCTTTTGCCATCGTTCAGGCAGTGTCATAATTCCACGTTCATAAAATTTCTGATCTTTGCTATCAAAAAACTGAATTAAATGTGATTTGTCTATCAACAAAATCCACAATCACTTACAATACAAAGAACAATTAATGCATGTGTCATCAAAATATGTTAGTTATATTTTATGGAAACCAATATAAGAAATGCATTGAATTCATTCTTCACTTTAACGCAAATAAAATGTATCAACTTACTCCATAGGAAGATAGTTTATAATTTCATTTCTATTAAATATTGTGGAGCATATAAACAAAGTAATAAAATTTGATTACCTTCTTTTCAAATGACTTCATTAAAAGTTAAATTATATTATAATGTTTCATATATTGTGTATCCAGACAAATTGAGAATTGGGTCAACAAAAATATTTATTCTTTCTTTACAAAAACGAAAATAATTGAATAACAAATGATATTGTCGGTGTAAAAAGAGACTTATGCTATATATTACAGTAAATAGATAAGAAAAGTAAACTAAAAGTATTTAATTTGTCAGTAACTGACCGACTTACATATACATCAGTAATGCAAAACCTTTTAATTATAAAGGAACGAATACAAGTTTGATTTTCGCTGCTGGCCGCATTATAACATTTTTCGTAAATTTTTTAAGAAGAAAAATCAAACTTCCGCCAAAAAATTATAATGCCTTTTTCCTTGATACATCGATATTGTAAATGTTGCACATGCGATCCGGGGGGTCGCAGGTTGTGCACCACTGATATATACAGTATCAAAATAATTGTACTCTATATACTTACTCGTGTAATAATAAAAGAATTAAAATCCCGGTTTGGATTCCTATAACATATTTGAGACAAAGTATGTTATGTATCAGATGATGTGTGGAATTTACTAACTTCGATAAAAAATATTCGATCAGTGTAAAAAATACTTTAACCTGAAGTAATTTATAAACTGTAAAGTATACGAATTTTACCCTTATTAATAGCATTATTAATTATACTTAATTGCTTGTAACATTTATCGTCTGAATTTATTAATTCATGTTGATTGAACATTGTTATTTGATTCATTAATATCATTACTTTACTTCGAGTTTAAAATGCTTTTGATGAAATATACGCAAGGAAAAATTTATTGCAATTTATTATTATTGTCTTTTGCAAAGTGTTGTGCCAAGGTTATTACATTTTTTTATATTATAGTATAATAATAAATAATGACGGTCAAAAATGGGTGGAAGTATCATTTGAAATTTGTGTGCACTTCCTGTCCCACGGTGACGCGTTCATTATTCATTCACTTATTAGTACATGCACTCAACGTTATGGCTTTCCAGAGGATCATTTTACTTTAACGTAATTTAATGGATGATATAGACGTCTGGATAGGAATTACGAAGAGCTTTGCTTGCTTTGTTACTTGCACGAGATCGAGTTTATGAAATCGATAAATAATGTTATGCTTCTCGTTCCCATTCTTTTTGTTCAATTTTCTTTCTTTTTCTTTTTATTTCTTACACTTTGCATAAGAGCTTCAATTCTATAATTTAAATTTTCGATGTAATTAAAAACTTACCCTATGATTATTTTCCTTGCAAAAAATTATTTTTATACTTCAGATGTGTCTTCACTTGATCGATGCCCAAATTTTGTCGCTTTCTGTATTAACCGATTTTTCCAAAGTATTTCTTTAAAAACATATTTATTTAAGTTTATATGTATATATATACCTACACAAATTATTCCTTCGTGTTATTTCCAAATATGCGAATAGCTTCGTTGATAATATCAAAAAAATTGATAAAATATGATTTTTTCAAAGTTTACACATCTTTTTAAATAAAAGTGATTGATCATTTTAATATTGTTACAAATTGTAAAAAAAGATATATTATAAACAATAATAATCGATAACATTATTTATTCTATGGAAGTAAATGTAATACGAAAAAAGTAGGCTGATTAAGGACGTTTAAAAGAAAATTAGTATAAAAATTAAAATGCCGTCACCGGTTGTTATCGTTGTATAACAAATAAAAGGTAACAAGATTAGGTAGACGATGTATATTACAAAGGAACCGAACAGAAATGTGTCACCGAGCACCTACTTGTTAAGGTGTCTTGTGGTAGTCATGATGATAGCTGCTGCTGCAACTTTTCTGCATTTAAATAATTACAGGCCCAGTAAGTTAAAAGCTCTCTCATTCATTGAGAAAATTGCTAAGGAATTCTATCGATTTGTACTCATTGACACTTTCTCCAAATAACTTTCTTATTCCTTTACTAATTTATTTTCGAGAAAGTCATGATTTTTAATTGTTTATCACTAATGTCTTCTTTTCTTTACTTTTCAGAGCAAACTTTCTTATCCTGTGATAGACCATGTCATCATTTAGATTGGCCAATGATTTGTCGAGTGAAACTCACGCTGGAAGTGTTCCAATCTCTCAGCAAGTAAGATATAACCATTTTCTCTCTTTTTCCCCTATAATATGAGAGATTCTCGTTTCTAATCTAATCATTTGTAAAAATAATTATTTATTTCGTCATCTAAATACACGCATGTCATAAATTTATTTTATTTCATTTTAAACGTCTATATGAAAGCCATTATTTCTTGTTAAAGTAGATATTATCCTATTGCATAAACTTTTTTTTCATACTGAAAAAGATATCTGTTGGTTGTCATACGGTTTGACTGACATCTAATTTCACAAATTAGACAAAAATATGGAATATTTATGGGTGATTTATTTTGTCATCTAAATGTACATAAATATATCATAAATTTAAAAAATTTTTAATTCCTGTAAAATAAAGTTCAAGGCTGATATGGAGGAGGCTACTATTATATATTTTAGATCTAACAACAATATATATTCTGTTATAAGAACACCAATAATACAAATTAGATTTAAAATTTTTAATTCTTTCTATTCTCTATTTCAATTTGTTCACTGTTATATTCTATCTATCATGCGTTCACTCACTCATACTTATACGTTTTTACACTCACATTATCTACAACACTTCTTACACACTATATTTAAACCAATACGTTAGACACAAGACACTGATATTTAACATATTATATTTATTACTACTTGATAAAACAGAAATAAGCTTATTGCATATATTTATTTATATATTTCATATATTTACTTTTTCATACTTATATAGAAGGTTTTTACTTGCTTTCATACGTTTTGATGAAAAAATTTATTTTCCCATTTAAATATAAACAAGTATTGCATAAATTTTATTATTTTGATTTTATGTAAAATATAATATAGTTTAACATTTACCCTTTGTTCTCAAAATATCATTACCGACAAATATTAATCGTTCTTAATTACGCTAATAAAAATGAATAAGTTTAAATAATGCTCTTACAATTTGATAAGTTTTGTGTCTATATTCACATATTAATATCTAATAGAAATAAAAATAATATGTTTTATTTATGAAAAAGAGAGAGAGTTCAGATCTTTTTCCAAAGTATTGTTTTTATTAATAATATATATAAACTTGGAAGTCATTGGAATATAAAAACTAATTTGAACACAACAAAAAATATATAGAATGTAAAGGATTAATTGTTATTTATAAAGTAGGAATCATTTAATTGCATATATTTTTTTTATTCAAACAACATCCAATTATAGTTGCTGACTTACAATTATCAAATGTGTTAACTTGAAAAGTAAAACGTATTTTCCCTTTTTTCTTTTATTCGATTACTTGCACGGTTATATAAATGATATAATGTATGAATATGAGTTATCAGAATTAGTAATTTGTTTAGATGTTGCAACGGCCGTTATGCAACTTTCTTCAGAATAGTGCAACGCGGAAGAAGTTAGATTAACCACAAAATGTTTGATGGAAGAAGTACTAGTAATCAAAACCTTTTCAGAAAGGATTCTTCTTTAGATATTCAATCACATACACAAAAGTTTATGATATAAGATATTATTACATCATCAAAGAATCTTCTTCCTATGCATTCAATTTTGATTGATATAATTAATGAAATATTAACTTCTTCGTTATAAGTAATGTTTGAGTAAATATATTTTCTGCAATGTAATTTATTTAATGTTTAGATCATGTGGAAACTGTTTATCGAACGAGACGGCTTGCCTGGCACATAATTGTGTATCAGCTGATGGACAAAGGCGAATAATAATGACAGCGAATCGACAAATGCCAGGACCTAGTATACAGGTAAAGTTACAATTAAGTAAGTCATTATTTAACACTAAATATACGACCAGTCAAATAATCTATCCTGAATTTTGAAATAAAATCTTGTATTTAATGTTATTGCTTTTGTACCATTAGATTTTAGAAGAATTATAATTGTAAAGAATTATATTAGATCGTTGAATAATTTGTTGTATTTTTTCCTGACACAGTGTTTGATTTTTTATGTCAAAAAAATAAAACATTTTTTCATTGGAATTTGACATACTTCTACAAAATGAAAACAAATTGTTGACAAAAATGATTAATATATCATTAATTAAATAAATGCCTTTTAAAATTCTAGTGGTTTAAATTAATTTCAAATATGACAGAAATTATGTAACGATCTAATATATATATAATTTTATTAGTCAACGGTCTAGCCATATTAGATTAATAGTTCTTGGCACGATTATTGAAGTCAAGCAACGTAGGAATGGTTAATAACATGGATGGGGTCACCCGTCTGAAAAAACAAAAAATAAAAACCGTGTGCTGATAACTCCAAAGAGGCTGTAAAAAAAGATTACGACCTCTTTTGATGTATTATAGTAATATTGATTAGTGTGAGAAGATGTTCGTAAAAGATGTAACTCGACTCGTAAAAGAAAGAATAAAAAAACGAATTTATTTAATGTACAAGGTGTCCGAAAAAATAAAGACACACTTATATTACGTGTTGGTAACGTTAAATTGATCAAGAAAGTTTCTATAAAATATATTCGAAAAATTTTTAATGAAGAGTTAATAAATCAAAGATTTCTAGAAAAGTGAACAAAGTTGATGAAAATCCAAACGCAAAGCGAATTTTGCATATGTATATTAGCAATTTTTAATAAATGTATGGATAAAAATTATAGGCGGCAAATTATTAGATTTAGATTTGGTGAACACAATAAGTAATGAAACAAGACCACTGACTAGTAATATAAAGTAAAGCAAATGCCAATCGCTAGTGTGTTATCACGATGACGGGAAAAAAATGGAAAGAAAGATAACGTGAAACAATAACACCAGTGACCTTGGTTTAGATAGGGACGTTCTTAGTAACGGCACTATCCACTAGATATCTTGGATCACAGTAAAAACAAGACCATATATACGAAAAAAATTCTAATTCTAACGTTTTATAAATATAAAAATAAGTTTTATTATTATATATCAAAATATTATTTTATTTATTATTTAAATTAATTTCAAAGTAATTATTATCCGTGCGTAGTTTTGAAGAATATAATTTTTTTTGAAGACAAGTTATCGAATCGATTACGGCTTAAATAAGTATGCGTATGTAATCTACATTAAGATAAACATTTTTGTTGTTGTTATAGAATACATACCGGGTAGTCAAAAAATCACTTTAACACATTGACAGCCGGTCCCGCGAAAACGCGGATTTCCGAGTCTTGCGCTTGAGTCCCGGCCGCGGGATAAAGCGGGTTTTTGCTCGATGTGTGGATTTTTTTTGCTGGTATGAGTATCTTACACATCGATTTTTATTAACTTGCTATGGTTACGCCGATGTTTTAAATATTTTTTTGGGGATTTTCAATGATCAGCGTTGGGGCGTTAAGTGGCCGCTACGGTGCTGGCGCTCAGGCGTTGAATGTTTCGTACGTCGGCGGCTGTTAATGTGTTAACAAGAAAAGAAAAGAAATCAATATTGATTTAGTAATAAAACTACAATAATTTGTCTTTCATTCCGAGATATGAATCTACAGTTACAGCAACAGTTCCCAAATTTTTTCGATTCTCGCTGCTTTTGGTGAATTCAGATTTTCCCAAAGCATCCTATGTTAAATTTTAACGAGTAAATTTTGCGAAATATCCAATAATTCTCTGCAAGGCTTAGGAAAAAATAAATAGAATGCAATTTAAATTACAAAAATATATAATAGAAAAATTTCAATTAATTATAATAATTAGTGGGATGAATAAGTCTGTTGGTCGTTGCACATTTTCTCAAATCGTGGAATTAAATTGGACATAGTCATTCTCTTCGCACAAATAATAAGTCGCTAATGGAAATAAAATAATAAAAATTGTTTAATATCTTACGGCATTCTAGGATATCGAGGTGTACATTTTGCGAATCACTGAGGTACAGTATTACAATATTAAAATAGTATAAATTAAAAATACTTTTATTCCAAATACTTGCCGAAAAAGATTTATAATTTTTCGATTTGGTTAAGCAACTTTTAGGACACCGATATTTGACGTAAGTTTGCGAATTGTTATGTTTGTTTTGTTGAAAATACAATGAATAACTTTGGTTGACATACATATGTCTCATAAATTTCTGTTTGAATATTGTCTATATTATTCAAAATATGTATTTATCTAGCAATTATTAACGTGTAACTAATAGAATATCCTTCTTAAAAGATCTGTTTTCAACAGCCAAGATTTTCAAGGTGAGCGTACTTAGTAGATTAATATGTACTATGGTTGATAACCACTTTACGTACGTACATTACTTAATTAATTTAATTATTCGACAGAAATGAGATTACACGAGCGTCGATATTGATTAGCTATCACTTAGAATTGATTTTCGCTTTATTTTAACACGTAGAAAGTTCTTTCTAGTTTTATATGAGTTTCCTGAGAATAGACGCGATCGATTAAACAAAAAATTTCTCTTTCTCTCTCTCTCTCTCTCTCTCTCTCTCTCTCTCTCTCTCTCTCACTCCTTACTTTATTACTTTATCATTCTATTATATAATCCATACGATAAAAAAGCTAAAGAAGAAAAAACTTTATTCTTCATGAATAATTCTAATCAATTATATGATTGCGTAGTCTGTTATAGTTTTTTTTATCATTAGTCATTTTTTTTATATTAAAAAAAATGTGATTTTTCAATAATATAATAAATATAAAAAAATAATAAGTATTACTAATAATATAGGATAATTATTATTATTTTTTCTTAAATTAATAATACAGGATAAAATAGTAATGTGGGAGAATAAAAGGATTATTATTTGCACTATTATTATATATTCAAAAGATTATTCTAATCGTATTAAAAGTATTTTCGTAAATATTGTTTTCAATGAAAACAACGAGTAAGTTTAAGATTATTTGTAACCTTATTGTACATTTTATACTTTTACACTATTATACATTTATGGGATATTTTTAATTAATATAAAAGAAATTTAAAAGTACAAAACATTTCTCTTTAAAGAAAAATAAATGATTTCAATATGACGAGCACTGAATTCAAATCACGACGACGCAGGATGAATATGAAGATTTAATTTAATTTTGTTGTTTTTTAGTATTCGGGGGTTTTCGGAGTCACTGATTAATGAATCTTTTATTATTTTTTTGAAAAACAAATTAGTGGATTTTCTTATTAAAAATTGATTCAATCTTTTTTAAAATTAGTATGTTGAAGTTTTTGAGATTGCTAATTTTGGATTTGATATTATTTTGTCGAAAAACAAAATGGCTGACATTGTTTTGAAAAACTGCTGGAATGATTTCAAAAGTCTATATTTGGGAGTTTTTGGGGTTATTGATCATGAATCCGTTATTATTTTTATGAAAAACGTAATAGCAGTATCAAAATAATTTTGTTTTTTTTTTAATTTTTGTTGTTAGAAGTTTTTATATTTAAAAATGTTTGTTTTTTAGAGTTATCTATTTATTACCTTATATTATATTCATTTATAGTTATATCTATTTATAATATTACATAAAGTAGTGGATAAAATGTAAGGTTCTTACAAGTACATATGTGTACTATCGTACAAAATCCTAAATAAAAGTGAAACCTGGCTCAACCTGGTTTTAATTTTTTGAAGTTAATGATCAAAGTTAATGATCAAAATACTTAAAATTTCAGTAGCATCATATTAATATTTCTTTTGTTACTTCGCAAATGTAACAAATTATGTTTCGAGAAAAAACACAATTACGGCACCGTTTTTAGAATCTTTTATGACTTTTAATAATATAAACTTGAATAGTTATAAATTTTTGTGTTGCACGCTAAAAAATATGTACAATCAATAAATGCAAAAAGAAAAAATCGATCTTCTGAAAAATTGTGACTAGAACGACACTTTTATTTGATATAAATGTTAAATAAATGTTAATAAATTCATGATTTCAGGTTTGCGAGAATGACATTTTAGTCGTGGATGTAGTTAACAAGCTTCCAGGTAAAGCTGCTGCGATACATTGGCGTGGTCAATCTCAGATTGAAACACCTTATATGGATGGTACGCCATTGGTAACACAGTGTCCTATACCAAGCTATACCACTTTTCAATACAAGTTCCGTGCGTCAGCTGCTGGCACTCATCTATGGCACGCACATGCTGGTACTACTTTTTTTTTTAAATTGTTTTGTTATTTTCTCTATTTTCATAGAACTCGTAAAATAATTTTTTCCCAAAGGCGTTTAATACTGGTTAGGTTAGAAAACAGAAAGCACTTCCTTCTTGAATAAAACTTGAAATATATATAAGCTGAATACTCGTTCAATAATATTGCTCGAACAACGTGAATTTTAATTTGCAGTATAGTCGCCAACTTTGTAAAGATAATTATCGATTTCACCGGAAATTAAACCTAACAATCGTTTTTCTTCTCTGAGACGTTTCCGTGCTAAATAAAATCCTTGTTAAGAAGGGGTATGAATTACTGAAATAAAAAATATTTTATTAGTTATATAATTTTATTAGTATTCATTCCGGTTTCACTATATTAATCTGTTACTAGGTGCTGACGTTACAAATGGAATATTTGGATCGTTGATCGTTCGACAGGCAGATATTCGTGATCCTCAACGTGCTTTTTATGACGTCGATGACCCTAACCACGTGATACTAGTTACGCACTGGCAGCATTCTCCGGAAATATTACTCGATCGTGGACTGACAAAGCCAGCGATACTTCTCGTCAATGGTAAAGGACGGCAGATGAATGGACCGAAAGTTCCTTACATGACATTTAATGTTGTTCCCGGACGACGTCATCGTTTCCGAGCTGCCAATGCTGGTGGTGCTGGATCTTGTCCTATTACAATTTCTATTGATAATCATTCTCTTTTCTTGATAACTTTGGATGGTCATCCTATCGAGCCTCAATACGTAACATCGATTACTTTGGCAAAAGGTTTGTACAAAATTTCATTCAAATCATCGCTTTATTTTATTATATTTTATTTTTTATTTTCGTCTATTAATATAAAATTTTATTTTTTAAATTGTTATAACATTAATGAATTGAATGAATATTTTTAGAATTTTTTATTTTTCTATTTCCTTTTTAGAAATTAAGCTATACTTTTATAATAATTAATGATTATTAAATTTTTAATGATATATAATTTTTATGTTTTTTAATTTATTATTTTTTTAAATTTTATTTTTTTATTTGATATATTTGACTGTTTTAAATAATATAAAAAAAATTTGGAAATATTAATAAATAATATTCATAATCATACAGTAGGTGTAGAAATTATTCGTACACCAATTAATTTTAAACAAAGCTTTATGAAACTGTTGTATATTAACTAATTTTTTATAAACAAGAAATATATACATATTTTCCGAAATCTCTATAATAGGTAGGATGTGACAAACAAGAAATTTCGGTAAAATTTTGTATTTATTATGCAAATTAATAATTATTTTTCTTGTTATTTTCCTATTTTTCAATAATAATTTTTAATTGTACAAAATTTTGAGCTCTACTAATGCTGGTAACGCTTCCAAATATACTGACGACGTCAATTATAATTAATCAACAATCATGTGATTTATTTACGTTATAAATCTCTTCTAAATAGTTACAGAGAAGAACTTTATGAATACTTATTGTTCTTATATTTCCGCCGATTGTTTGCTTTTCCTTGTTAATTTTATAATTTATATAAGTAAATTATTGTTTGTTGTATCTTACCTATTTTAGAGATTTCGAAGAATAAGTTCATGTTCCTTGTTTATAAAAAACTAGTTAATAAACAGCAGTTTAACGAAATTTAATTTCAAATTGATTAGTGTACTAATACTTTCTACACCAACTGTATAATTTTCAAGTAAAATTAATTGATAAAAAACGTAAATATTGAGTGCAGAATTTTAATCCAAATTTAATATTTGTCAATTGAACGATCATGATAAATTTTGTGTTAATCATTTTGATTTTTTTAGTTTTATTTTTTATTTTTTAAAAGCTCTATCAATAACAGTCTAAAATTATATTTATTTACAAATTCTTGTATAGCTGGAATTGATATAGTTATTGATCAATAGTTAATTGTATTTTTGTTTGACATTTATTGTTATATACGAGAATATATTGCGCCTGAAGATAGGCATTATTTTATACTTTGTCACTAATGTTTCTTGTGAACGTCATCTATCAGTAAGAAAGATTATAGCTGACAACATAATTTTATTCGTCATTTATTAACGTTGGTATTTTGTAACCTTGACCTTACACTCGAAGTTTTTTCCGAAAGTTTATTATTATAGTGTATTAGTATATTAATATATACTTTTATAAAGAATCAAAATATTATAACTCTGTCAGTAATTGTGACATTGAATTAATGTAAATCAAAAAAATTGACAAAAATACAATTATAATTTATTTATTTTCTTCTTCTTTTTATTCAGACTTCGTCCTGTTATATTTTAGCTATATTGTTCTCTTCAGAGCGTTTGTTGTTTGATGTCGAGCTTTCATGCCACCGTTTTGGAGGTCTTCCAGGTGGTCTCGTTGTTCCTATTTTTCCTGCTTTTGCCACTTTCGGTAGCCTACTGTTGTCCATCCTGTCTACATGGTCTCTTCACTCTCTTCTCCTCCTTCTTATCCACCTTACCACGTCTTGGGTCTCACATTCTTTTATTATTTTTTTTGTTTCTTCTTTTATCTCTTAGTGAGTTTCCTGTTATGGCTTGTAGCGTCTTCATTTCTGTAGTTCTCAGGATACGTTTTGATATCGCGGACTCCCCCTTGTCTCTGCCGTATATGTCATTATCAGTCTGACACAAGTCTTGTATATGCGTATCTTGCTTGTAATGCTCATATGCTTGTTTCTCCATATGATATCCCTAATGTATCCGGAGATTATGGAGGCTTTGGTTGCTTGGTCTCTTACTTCCTCTTCTAGGTTTCTGTCGCTCGTAATGATCGAACCTAGGTATTTAAATCGCATTACTTGGTTGACACTTTGGTTGTATACTGCTAACTTACATCGTCTGGGCTCCTTGCAGATGGTGAGTGATTCAGTTTTTTGTACCGAAATGGTCATATTAAGCTTTCCTGCTGTTTTTTTTCGAATTTGTGTAACATCCTTTGCAGATCGTCTTCATCTTCTGATATGATGACTGCGTTACCGGCGTAACATATTATTTTTATATTTTCTTTTCCTAGATTAACTCCTTCTCCAGCTGTTTTCACCTCCTTGATTATTTCGTCCATGATCAGGTAAAAAAGGATCGAACTTAGACTGTCTCCTTGTCTGATTCCACTAGTTGTTGAGATTTTTTTCATTGTCATATTGCCTGTTCTTATTATTATTGTGTTTTGAATGTTAAGTTCTTTTATTGTATGTATTATATTACCGTTTACTCTTCTGGCTCTCAGTATCTGTAGTACTTCTCCAAGCATCACTTTGTTGAATGCTTGCTGGAGGTTAACGAAGCACATGAATACTGGTTTGTTAAATTCTATGAATTTTTCGGCTATTTATTGTAGTATGAATATTGCGTCCACCGTGGATCTGTTTTGTCTAAAGCCCTGCTGTTTTTGCTTATTCCTATCTGTTCTATTTCCTTTGCCAAGATTTTCGTCATAAACTTCTGTACTGCACTTAGGAGACTAATTCCGCGGTAATTCTCTTGGTGTCTTGGTTCTTTGTCCCTTTTTTGAATATGGATATTGTTATGCTCTCTTTCCATTGCACTGGCACTTTTTTGCGTTTAATATTTTATTAAAGAGGATACTTTTTTAATTCCTTTGTTAGTGCGTTTCCTCCATATTTAATTAGTTCGTTTGTAATCTCGTCTGTTTCTGGAGTCTTACGGTTTTACACCATGTGATGTTTCTTTTTCCTCTTCCTCGCGTATGTTGTTAGTCTCCTTCGTCTCGTTTTTGTACAGCTCTGTGAAATGTTTTTCCCATTCATCTGTTGTGATTCTGGCGGTCTGTATGTATTCGTTTACGTGTTTTCTTCGGTTTCTTAGCATGTGCCATACTTTTTTTGTACACCCCATAGGTCGTGTTCCATGTCAGCTGAGAATTTTTCTCAGTAATCCCGTTTGATTTGTCTAATTGCTTCGTTTACCTTGTTTCTAGTTCGTCAGTAATCGTCGTATGTTATTGTTTTACTTCGGTACTGTAGATAGGCGTACCTTTTTTCTTCTGCTAGGGTCCTTACTTCTACTTTGAACCAAGGAGTATTATTTCGTTTTACGTTAATATTGCATTTCATTATTATTCATTGCATTATAATTTATTTATAATAATAGTAATTTATTTATTAATATAAATAATTACAATATAAAAAATACATCATAAAATCAATTTTTCCGTTTTAAAATATAAAAAAATATAATAAAAAATAAATCATAAAATAAATTTTGTCAATCCTTTGACTAGCAAAAATTATAGTAAAATTTTAGTTTCATTTAATTGCATTCTGAATTATCTTATCAATATTAAACTATTTCTTTAACTGAAAAAAATCAAAATTGTTGTAAGATTTAACTGAGAAAAAGTTTAAATGCAAAGATTAATACATGCTTGCATGCATCAATAACCTCCAATGTGTGGGGAGTTTCAAAAACTTTACCTTTGATAAATCGTCTTTGCTTGTAGCATTATCAATGATGTATAATGTGTTGCCTATATTCGTGGGCGATATTTAATATTCTTACACACAACTACATACTCATCTAAATCATATTTGTAATGATCCGTTTCCGAAGATGTCACACTTCTTGTAAATTATGGATCTTTTTTAAAATATTCACTAATGTCATTTTTCTGGTTTTAAATATTTTCTTAGATAAACCCTATTTTTTATCTAGGAAAATAAATATTAAAATAGGATTTTTATTTTTTTATTTTTTTATTGAAATTTGTACGTCGTGGTACTTTTTATTAAAAAACTTATACCGTCAAAAACAAATACTCTTATCAAATTTTGTCCTAGAAAGCCAAAAGATAGAATAGTCTTGATTCAAATGATAAAAAAGCCATTTTAATAGATGAGCTTTACGGTATTTTTACGTTGTAAATTTTCTTGACAGGTGAGAGAGCAGATTTTGTACTAAAAGCAAGCAAAAAAATTTCTTCCTATTGGATGAATATAAAAACGGTGAAAAAATGTGGAACAACAATTCCTGTTTATGGTGCTGCGATTGTAAAATATAAAGGAAGTCCTATAGACAATTTACCAAGTATGAATTCAGATGACACTTTGATGGATCAAAAAGAAAACCAGGAAATGGAAACGAATCGAATCGCGATGACGACAGTTCATAAAGAGACGTGTAATAATCCTGAGAATCTTTGTCTCAACAAAATTCAAGGAATACGTAAAATGCCGAAATCACTTACTACCAAAACCGATATGACTATTTATTTACCGATTAATTATATAATGCAGTCGACTAATTCGGAAGGTTAGTAATTAGAAACACGCTTTGATGAATTTTAATATATTTGATAAAATATATTTTTTTTTTATTATCATTTGAATGAGTGTATAACAAATTAATAGAAGTATTACACTTTAAATTAACACTGCTACCGATTATATTCACCATTTCAGGGATCAAATACACCCTTTTGCAAAGAAAATTTTTTTACAAATTTGTTTTCTTAAATAATTGTAATAAAAATCGAATCTGATGTAAAAATATTATTCTAAAACTGTAGAATAATATTAATGAATGACAATCTGATGAAGTGACTATTGCAATAGAACAATTAAAAATATATTAAAAATATATAAACTAAATGATTATAGTTTGAAATATCAGCCAAAATACTTTTTGCATAAAATTTAATTATTGATGAAACTTCTTCAATGTGGTATAAAAATTATAAATTGTGCTATGTTTGGCCAATAAGATCACGTATCTTTGCATGCCAGCACGAGTTTTGTGGAGGCTTACATTGTCCAAAATCAATCATACTTCTTTCAAATTATTTTTATTCAATTTTGGCAATAATCTTCAAAAAAATTCTTTAAAAATATTTGAAGCAACTAAACGTGTAATTATTTTATGCCACACTATATCCTAAATATTTATAATTTTAATTGAGAAAACAATTCAATAATTGTTGACAAGACAGAAAATATGATTTGCAAAAGGGTTAATTAGAGTGCAAAAAGGTAATTATGATCTGCATATTTGTTAATTTGAAGAGCAAAACTTGTAGAATGATATGTGTGAGCACGAAAAATGAAGGTTCGTATTATTTGTTCTTTTGTAGAAAATGGTGGTGTTGATATTAAATCCTTAAATATAAACAATATTACATTTACTTATCCATCGTCACCGTTATTGACGCAGAGTGGTGACATACCGGAAGGTTTATTATGTACAGGAAACGACGAAGATGATCGTAACGAGAACAACGAAACTTCGTTATCATCACGAAAGTGTCGTCACGATGATAACAAAGATACTAATGACACATGTGAATGCGTTCATATACGTTATATTCCTCTCGGAGCAACCGTGGAAATCATACTTTTGGATCAAGGTAATTATATTTATTACTTTCTTGTTTGCTCGATAAATTCGATTAAAGAGGATGTATCTATTAGATGACTCAATAAGTTCGTGTGGTTTTGTTTTCTAAGTAAATTGTACAAAAATTTCTACTGATTTAAAAAACATTCTACTGAGTTAAGCTAACAATAAGATTAGAAAATAAAATTTTCTGATAATGTGATAGTAAATGAGAGACCTGTAACATTGCATGATCAAAAGTTTGTGTAAACAAAAAAGGTTTTAACATGAACTATCGTGTTTTATCTTTACGTTAATTATTAAAACCAACAGTTAGCGTATTTTTTTTATTGAAAATTTCAATGTTTGTCTTGAGACAATTGAGTGAAAATTAAAAGATTTCACAAAGAAAATCGTTGCGTAATTTTCCGTAAACATTTTTTTTTTTTATTAACTCCATACATTGGTAAATTATTATAAAAGTGAAAAAAGATAGCACGTGGACGGTTTCTCCAATGAGATAGCGGCGCTATTGTCATTTATTTCGGTTAGGTTTAATTTTTTACTAGGTCTCCTGGGTGGATTCTTTTGTGCCTTCTAGGAATATATTAATTGTAGTTATCGTTGTAGCTAGCGGGCTTATGTGCGTATCAATTCTTATTTTGTATCTGCCGGTTGCCATGATTATTTCTTCTTCAATCGTTATGTACGTACAGTTACGGACGTACCATGGAACATTCACGATTATGCGTAGGGTTATGAATTGTTGAGCCTCGAGCTTGGCAATGTGACTTACCGTAAACAGTAATAAACACGGAAAGTGAAAACCAGTATTTCCAAGTAGACGCTATCGTGTATATTTTTCATCGACAAGTTTTAAATAGGTCATCGTGTAAGGTTTCGTTTAACGTTAGAGCAAGTAAATAAAACTGGATAGAGTAGTCTTGTTAATTAGAAATGATCAGCTTTACTTGTAATTCGACATGTACCTAGTTTACCTGACGTTGTCCTTGTGAAAACGAATATAGAAAATAAAAGAAGCATATTTTTCGAAACTTGTATTTATTTTTATACTGCATTATATTAATAAAAAGTTTGAAGGTAAAATTTTAAAAAGATATCATAATGTTACAACGTGAAATTATAATTCTACAAATATAATAATAATAATAATAATCCGGAAAATTTTTAATCTGGATGTCGTACTGTTTTATTTATTTATTTGTATTTCATTGTGTATTTTAGATGCATTTATTTTTCATTTGAATCTTTTGAAAAAAGTTTGCAATGAAATCAGAGTTAATTTTACAGATCGATAAAGCAAAAAAAAATGAAAGGAAGAGAAACAGGACATCCTGCGTTTGTAGGTTACAAGCCTTGATATCTGGAATCTTGATCTGGTTTTCTGTGAAAGTTTAATGTATTGATTCTGTACTCTGTTATTTTTTCTTATTACTTTCCCTTTCTATTCCATAAATTGTAACGATCAGTTCTATCGATTTAAACTTTTTCTCCCAAGGGAAATAGCATGCAGATATAAAACTTTATTTACGCGATTTAAAAATTGTGGGGACGGAGAATACAAGAAAGTGTATCACATTGATAGGAAGTCGTGACGCTTCTACTTGGCACAGTTCCTCTTTAAATGTATTATATATGGTGACTTATTCGGGATATGTATTTACATTGTTGAATTATTTGTCGTTTATCATAATGTATTTTTATCTGATCGAATGTTGAATTCATTTATCTGATCGAATGATAAATTTTAATTCCGTCCAACGAGATGAACGGATACAATTGTTTTCTAATTATTTTCTTAATCGGCTCTTGGTTTCCAAAATTCCCCAATTTCTTCCGAGACTGTACATTGCCGTGGATCGTAAGTGGGCCTTATCTACATTACTTCGCCGAAAATTATTGAATCGAAAATTAGGAGAAGAAAGGAGAACGCTGATCACTTAAAAAAAATGTTATAACTTAAACAATTTCAAATATATTTTGGTTATTCAAACAACAGAAAAAAACTAAAATTTCCAGGAAGACCCGGTAAGGTCCGGTAAGTCCCGGTAAAGTCCAGTAACGTCTAGTATAGTCTGGAAATGTCGGGTAAGGTTCGAATGTTTTCGATAAAGTTCGGAAAGGTTTTCAAATCAAGAATAATGCTCAAAACTTACCTATATTTCTTCGTAAAAAAGTTGGAACGTTTACGATAAAACATAAATTTTGCTGTCATTGCTCACGTGTATGAATAATCCCGATCACATAAATAAAATTGTAATTCTGATGCTATTTCGTTTTTCTGATCTTGATTACAAACTGATTTACGTCCTATTATTAAATTATTTATATTCTAAATCTTCAATCTTTCTTGGTATTTAGAAGATAGAATGTTGCACCTTTAAGTATCTTGTTTTTCAACAGTTCTTTTTTAAACGTTTCTTTTGAATTCCTAAGATCTTTCTCACACCAATTTTCTCTGTTGATTGTCTTTTTACGTTATCTATCAGAAGTATATATTAATACAAAAATAAAAAATTGCATTTAACGATATGCCGATTACTAGCTTGCATACAAGTTAAGAGTGGTCATTCCAAGCATCTTCTACGAAAATGATTTGTCTTGAATTATTGGAATGCGAAAGTTAACTTTAAAACAAAGTCAAATAGGATATATATTTATAAGGACTTTATTCATTGTTTTTGTGTCTTCTGTCCATTATTGAAGTGGATTCCACATATTACGAAACACTACTAGTACACAAAGCAAATATATTATTTATTGACGCTTCGTGCTAGTGTTGTATACATTTAAATCTATAGATTTGTAATCTTGTAAAGTTCAATTTTTCATTTTTTCCATCATTATTTAAAAATATTCTTTGTGTGCGAAGGGTAAATTAAATAACGTTAACACAAATTTGACGCAGTATGTCTGGAAATGTAACATATGATAATAGAACATATACTGATCATTAGATGCAGTAGAAATTGATAAGATAGATAGAAATATTGTCCATGAAATAATTATTGGTAGCCTAAACGTGTTAGTAAATAAATATTGTCGGGGAAATTCGGCAAGGATGAAATTGTGTCGATGAAGTGATTGTCAATTAAATGATTATCGATGAAGCAAGATAAAGTTGAGTGGATTTTCCTGTGGTCCCTAATGAAAACGTGGTCAGTAAGGCTATGTAATAGCCTAGTTCATTGAATCATGTGGCCACAGTGAAACTACTCATCTCGTAAATCTGCAGGAGCTATCGATTATTCCGAAGTTTTACATATTATCTGCTAAAGTAGAGTAATAAGTAATTTTAGAGATGTTTATCTGAAAAGGAAACATAAAAACAGTCACCTTTTACAGAATAAATGTCAACCCATATCGACCTGTTTAAACCTTTTATGTGTTGTTTATTGTATAGCGCCTTGATTTTTATCGCTTCAAAGGAAATAAAAAAAATTAAAAAATATTTTCAAAAAAATTTATGAAAATTTGTAATCTAATTACTTTTTTCTAGCCGGAATGAAGGATCTTGTTTACCACCTGCACGGATACGACTTTTACGTTGTCGGAATTAACAAATTCGATCGAAGCATGTCTCTGGATGAAGTTAAGCTACTTGATAGGAAGGGATTACTTTTCTCCCGTAATTTGGATTGTGCACCATCGAAAGATACGATAACAGTGCCGAAATTTGGCGCTGTTGCTCTTAGATTAAAAGCAAACAATCCTGGTAATATTCAAAAGCTTTCGATTTACAACCATATATTCGTTTATTATAATTATTAATAATAATTATTAATAATAACTCTTGACGAATTTAATTTTTAATCATTATTTGTGATCATATAGATAGAATATTAATATTTAATATTGTATTTAGGATATTGGATGTTACGAGACGAACACGCAGTTGACTGGACACGTGGGCTTGATGTTATCTTACAAGTTGGCCAACCTAATGAAATGATACAAGCTCCGCTAGATTTCCCAAAATGTGGCTCATTCGTCGGACCCGACTATTTTCTAATATAGATTTCTTTATATTATTTTATTATATGATTTATGTGTGTGTATGTGTTTGTAAATAGTTGTATATAATGTAAAATTAAATGTATAAGTTTGCTGTGAGTACCATATAACACTGTTCGAACGGTTATGCCTTTATCTTGCTGCCAATAAACTATTTACATGTATCCTTATTACGTGAAATTTTATCGACAGCTTTAATAATCATTAACGCATTAATTGTTCATTATTTAATTGGGCATACTTTTTTCAGAGCACAAATTTATGCTTTGCTGCAGATTTATACACTACCAAAATATGTGCTTACGATTATTATATTTGTTTCTTTTCAGCATAATTGAGACTATTTTAAGAACAAATTTTCTTTTTATTTAAAATTTACGTTTTTTTACCTTTCTATATTTTGGGAAATTGAAATTCGAATCATTAAATTGCTTGGGATCTACGGTATTACTTTGATATTCGTCGAATTGAAATTTAATCCGATTGTATTATACGATGTCACGGATTGGTAAGGAATTACTTGAAATAATATTCTTTTTGCTTTCTAACTTTGCTCTTAATTTTATTTTATAAGTCGCACAACGTGTGTATTTTTCAAATATCATTCTGTGATTTTTTGATTTTGATTTAGATATGTTTTTTGTATATTTTTAATTATCCTTTTTAATGTGTCTTTCAGACGATGTACAAGTGAAATTGTTCGTATCTAATGTTCGTATTACAAATAAAAACTATTTCTTCTATCCGAAAATATGGTATACATTTTTAAATTAGTTTTGTCCGAATTTATAGTATACAAAATACATGTAATTGCAATTTCGATTATTGATGGAATATATTTACAAAATTTTAAATAATGTTAGTCAAAGTGAAGTTAGACCTTTTCTAGGGATTCTTGAATGTAATTGATTTTATAAAAGTTTGTTATGTATAACAAAAACGTTATCTGAATACGTTGAAATGGGAAATCCTAACCCCCACCCCCATTGTATTCTCCAGACGTTACTCCCTCTGACTATCACTTCTTTCGATCAATAGCACACAACCTGGCTGACCAGCATTTCCGGTATTATGAAGAAGTACAAAATTGCATTGATTCGTGAATCGCTTCAAAAGATGAACAGTTGTTTCAACGCAAAATTTGACAAACGTTGGAATTGAACAAAAAATAGGAAAAAGTAGTGACCAGCGATGTATAATACTTTAAATCATATATGTATAACCAGTTCATTACAATAAAGCCTCGAATTTAAGAACAAAACATCTAAGTAGTAATGCAATTTTTTCTTTCGTCCATTATTCATTTTTCTAACGATCTGGTTAGCAAGACCCCTTTATTGATTCGATTTGGTACTCCTTCTTTGCAATCTACCACTACTTTCACCATGATCCTCCATTTCCTAAAAACAGTGAACGTTATTTTATTAAAAGAAAAATACTATACTTTTTTTATTCATAAATTGTTACGTCCGGAGACGAGTTAAGTTAAATCTTATTTGTTAATCCTGTGTTAGCCACCCTGCGTGCAACGAGTCTAGCCAGGACCAAACAGGTTCGTATTTTCCAAAGGTTAAATCGCAATAAAGAATGGCAAATAATATTAGGGTTGGAGAAAAGAAAGGAATGAGGAGGAAATCGTAGGGGGTTAGTAATTAATGCTAATTTCCGTTCATCGTAGCTCTGGTACACAAAGTATTTAATAAAGGAAACATTTACTTACAATGTTATGTAACAAAAGTGCGGCCGTAAAAAAAAAATGTTCAAAAGTGCGGTTTTTCGAGGAGCTCTCGGCCTCGCAAATCTTCTGTCGTTTTTTGGCTGGTAAACAGCTGTCGAAACTAAAACATACTCGCGAAATATTAACTTTTACGTAATGATACACACACTTCTATAAAGAGACTTATTAATTTTGACAATAATAACTTTATAACGTTTTACGTAGAGGACACTTGATTATAATACTCAACACGATGATTGATTAATTATTATGACGAGCAACGAAAGCAGATAGTTATTAATTACGGAACGTAAGTTGGTACAGTATGAATACTAAAAGAATTACCCAAAGAATGAACTCGCGAGGGCTGAAGAAAAGCTCCTTATATAGATTAACATTATCCCTGGAAGGGGTTTACTTGCATCTATTTTCCCAGGCACATTCTGCTGTCCTAAACAGTTTCGCGAGCATTCCAGGAAGCCGCATAAGCGGTGGCTGAATTCCTCTTATCACGCAGTGTGACAGTAATTAATATGATTTAATATTTATTTTAGATCGCTCTGGCGCCTATGGTTTTTAGCTTTATTCCGTCGTAGTTTAGTTCCTGCTGATGGGTTTAATGTTTCTTTTACATTCATCTGCCCTTCTTATTCTAACGCAGCGGATGTGCGTCCAGGGTTACGCCCGGATTGCACTTTTGGAAGGGGCGTGCACTATCGTAGAGGAAAAATAGATCGAATACATGCAAAAAGTAGGGAGAAAGTTTCCTGGTATGCACGAGAGAGATTGAGTATTGCAAAGGGAAAAATAATGTTAAGATATTATGATCGTGGCGGGACGTCACAAAATGTTAAAACTTATTGTTAATAAGGAGCAAATGTTTAGCTATTATCATCTATTATTTTACGATAACTATCAGATACAAAACAAAAAGTCAGAATATTTAATTATTAAATTATTTATTTCATCCTATATTATGAAATAAATTTATGTGGTATAAACTAACAATTATTTGTATAAAATTCGATTTGTTCCTAAAATAAAATCTTCTGATCATTAACAGTGTCTTACATTCGTGAATTGGTACTTGAATCGTATTTAAAAAAGTGAAGATTTTTACAAAAAAATATTATTTTCAGTGACGGAGCGCATTTCCACTTGAACGACTGTGTAAACAAATTTAATTGAAACAAATGTATTTTTTTCAAGGCTTAAATTAATTTAATTGGTCTCAGTAAAAATCCCTATACATAAAGTGTCGGTAGGCTTATTAGTTTTAAAGAATAGTAATTCAAAATATACAGGGTGTAACAGAATAAATGGGAAATACTATGAGATGGTTTCAGCACATCAAAACAAGAAAAAAAATTCTTATAAACATGTGTCTTATTTGACCTTGTTTCGGAGTTTAGCGAATTGGAGTTTTGATGAACTGAATGCACCTACATTCGCGAAAGGTATTTAAAATGACCTCCTTGTACCTGCACAAAAGTTTGCAGTTGTTTTACAAGCGATTGCCTCATTCTTCCTATATTTCAAGCCATTGCTCAGATATGATGAAAGCTTTATTCAATCCTTTCACGAGCTACTTCCGCACTGTCCATGGACTTTTTATAGACAATGTATTTTAATTAACTCTACAGTGAAAACTCAGCGAACAATACGACTACCACGATTTATCCACTTGTTTAGAAATCGTTTGTTTAGAAATTATCTGGTTAGAATCGGTAGAAATGCGGTGGTACTTCGTCGTGCATAAACTACAAGTGATTTTTAATATCAGATGAAACATCCTGACTCACCCTGTATTATTTAAAACAAAAATTTAAGAATTTATTTAGTTATATTTGTAAGATTTAATTTATTATAATTTGAATAAAATATAAAAGGTAATAATAATGACTTAATCATTAACGCTTAACAGTAATGCTAARCGATTTTGGTATAATTGTTTTAAGAGATAGAATGGTGAATAATCTATAATCTATTGTCGCGTAAACTAAAGAACTATCACGGAATGCCCGAATATGGAATGCGCCGTCCGGTCCCCACCGACGCCTATTTGTGCCCTTCCCCCTCTCCATCGTTTTTCATCACTTCCTGGCATTCCCTCCAGAAACCTCTCGATAATTCTCCCTCATAAACAACGAATCACTTCCGTACTTCCGGAGCGAGAACGTTCGAGAGATCTCGATGGAGCTACACAAAGGCGACAGGCCCAGACGGTGTAGTCTTACTATCTAAACCAGGGCTTCTTAAACTTTCGTCATTCACGACCCCATTTATGATTGCGAGTTTCTTGGCGACCCCATTTATGATTGCGAGTTTCTTGACGACCCCATACAAATATTACTGCTGTCGGTGGAGATAGCTCAAAACCTTCAACAAATGCACGTGTCTAGACGCTGCAAGTCCACTGTATTCCGCCAACTCTAGTGATGTTATAAAATGGTATATATAAATATTTGACATTAGAATCTCTCGCGACCCCATGTGGGGTCGCGACCCATAGTTTAAGAAGCACTGATTTAAACAAAACATATCTACAGGAAACGCTTTCTTTCTTCTTCGTTCATCGCTACAATCTCGCACACACTCATACCATACACATGCACTCTTTTGTAGAAACTTAAACACTATGGTCACACAACTTCTAAGATATTCTGTATCCTGACATATTTATTTCCTAGTTGTAATCTAATACTACGATATACAATTTGTGTATGCAAAATGTTTATCTTTTGTACAAAGCAAGATAATACAATTAATTTTTTTAATATGTACTTTTCAATCCATACTGTACCACAATCTGATCTCTATCTCTATCGCTTGTCTATTTATATTATCTAGCCAGCTCGTTGTGCTGATCGAGTACCGTCTACTTTAAATTTGCAAAACACGGCTATTGTTCAATTATCCATTGAATAAATTCTGACAATAAGCAAAATACAAACATTTATAAATATGAATAATTTCGAAGCTAAGAATGGCCTAGAACTGACACACGCGTTGATAATGATCCGACACTAAAAATTAAAAATATTATATGAAATATATAGAAATGTATACAAAATAATTTTCGATGAATGAAGAAACTCGTGAAGGCTCTTTTAACGATGTTTGGCTCAACATATTTCTGTGAAAAACTGTTTTCGTCAATGAATTTTGTAAAATCGACGAATAGAAATAAGATTGGAAATGAAATATCTACGAAATGCATAAAACTGATGAATATAGAATATAAACCTAATATTACGAAACTATATCCGAAAATAAACAACAGCAGGTTTCTCATTAAAAGTACAACAATTGTATTACGAACTCTTGACCTTTTTTATTTTTTTTGCTTTTCAAATAACAAAGTTGATCCCCCTCCTCCCTCCCAAGATCACCTCGCTCAATTACTGACCCACGAATTAGCGCTGAAAGCGATGATAAGCCGAATTTGATCCACGCATCAAAAAAGGTTCGCCATCCCTGACTTAGAATCTTCTAAATTCTAAATTCTCTTACATAGTCAAAAGGTTTAAACGATAAATTAACGATTTTCATTATTAACGATTTTATATATATCTATATATACAATTTTTTTTATATTTTTATATATATATGTATACATGTATGTGTAACAAATCAAAGCGTCAAGTACATATGACATGCGAATGAAGATATCAAACTATCAACGAACAAAAGATTGACGCGAAACGTCAAGCAACGTACTCGTCAGGTGTCAATTTAACCAACATTTTTTTGTATTCGATCGGAATAGTATCATTAGGAAGAAAAGAGATTAGGCTGATGAACAGGGTTGTTAGTGATGTCCTGTCTGAACGGCGTTCACGCCCAGATAGCAACGTTTTTTTCCGTTCCCCATGAGATTCTATTATTACAACATAGGGTTTTTCGTGAATATGCCAAAGTAGCCGTTGGTCCGGATTTTATTCATACCTTGCCGTCTTTTTTGATCTTGGCCGCAATCACGCTTGTCCTTTGGAAACATCCACCAAATTCCAAGTGGTTCTTTCAAACTACGAGCGGATTTCCGTGGATCTATACAACTTTTCAGGTAATAAGATACTCGTGAATTTTTTTCTGCTTATTAATCTGAATTAATTATTTGTATTTTTTGACCTTTTGTTAGTAAACTTTAATAAACTTTTAAGATCGTTACTGCTTGGGCAACAATTGATATGATTTTGTGGACTTGGTTGATTTTTCAAAGAATACTTTATTGCATGGTTTGGATTTATTGGAATAATGTAAGTGTTATAAAGGAAAAATTATGGATTATTTAACCTTTTCGTTGTTAACAATGATTATCACTCAACGTCTATTATATGTTTTATTTATATTATTGAATCATATTTTTTCATCAGAATTTTTAGTTTTTATTTGCTGCGTGTCAGTTTGATAAAACTTTAATGAAGAGTTGATAATTTATGTTGTGCAGTTAGGAATTAAAAGCTTATTTCTTCCCGCGGTGAAATTAAGTACGTTCGTCTAGGGATTTCCCTGTAGTCGTAACGAAAAGGTTATATAAACTAACAGATATTATTTATTTTTTCTAAGTCGACATTAATTACGTAGGAAACTGAATATCATGACGCAATTTATCCTTGGTGGCAACGAGTTTGGTCCTTGTATTATCCACCACCAATGCAACCACCAGTTCTCTCGGCCGGCCTCATTAGCTGGATCATTTCAATGTTCTTGTCAGTTTTGGCGTTAGGTTGTGCCATTTCTACGAGTCGTGTCAAGGCCTTTTTTAATGATTTTTCAATCGTTCTACAAGATTTGTTTACTATGGTTAAAAATTATATCGAACATCTGACGAAGAAGTTAGTATTTATGACAATACATTCCTTTTCCAAATTTAAATATATTTTTTTCTAATCCTCTAAAAAACCTAATTTTTTTTAGGTTTAGAATAATAATTGTTTTAGGCTTTTTTTTTAACGTAGAATATGTTGTTATTGCAAAAAAATGTTAAACCTTTTATCTACGGCGAGACTGGCTGTGCATATAAATAAAAATAATATGCGAAAAAAATATGTATAATATAATAGCATTTTCTGTTATTTATGAAAGACGTATAATTTTTAAAACAATGAAGATAAAAGTGAGATAATTTCAAAAATAGAACATGATAGAAAGTCACTATAGTGGAGCTTCATCCAACAAAATTACTTATCCAACCCAATTACCACTGTAGTTAATGCAATAATATTGACCTTAAAATAATCTTAAAACCTTCTACTAAATAAGAAACAATGCATCTTATAATATTTTATCATTAAAAATTCAATAATAATAGCCTGAACAATTTTTCTCAAAAATGCAAATTTTTGAGATAAACATTTGGAATGCTACATTTTTAGCACCCCTTATATATAATAATATAACATTATATACTATATGAAATATAACACAGAATTAAAAAAAATTTTTAAAACTTCGTATAAAAATAACAAATAATGTTACAACGATAAAAGCAATAAGATTTTAAAATTGCAGATATATACAATATCATAAATTGCAAGGAGTATAATATTATTGGAGATTTGTATAAGAAAGAAATGATATGAGAAAAAAATACTAAAAAATAAATGAATAATAAAAAAATATAATATAATAAATAAATTAAATATAAAGTCAATAATTGATTAAATAAATAACATAAATAAATAATAAATAAAAATAATTAGTAATAAATAGTCAAAAAATTAATAGTCAATAAATAAAAAATAATGAATAATTATATAAATAAATAATAAGTATGTGGATACTTTGGATGAAATACAAAGAAAAAATACAAATACATATATAAAATATATAAGTATACATATATTTAAGTGTATGATTTTAAAATTAGATGGGGTTGTAGAAGGTTAATTGAATGTCTTAAAAGAAAAAAGAAATTTAATGCATGTTACTTTTTTTTAATAATTAAAAATAATGAAGAAAATATCTTTGAATTATCAGTGTATGAACTTTTTTAATTAATATTATAATTTTTTCATAGGATACGTGACGTTGCATTATCTAGTGAAAGCGACAAATCGTCTTGCGATGGTGCAGACGAAAGTGATATTAGTTCTCTATGCGAAGATTTTCGATCGGAGCTATCAAGTGAGATCAAACAAACAAAACGTCAGCAGGTATATCCGATTTGTTATGGAACAAACTGGGCACCCAAGCCGAATTTTATGAATTTTGGGAAAGAGGCGCAGAGAAAAGCTTCGATGAAATCTGTACATACCGTAACGGGTGCCACAGAAACCCAACGTGCAGAACAATTTTCTCCGAGATGTCACAAACGTGGCTGCCAAACTGCGATTCCGACCAATTCGAGTGACAAATCAAGCGGATGTTAAAATTTTATATATTTTTAAACGTGTTTTTTTTTGTCATTTTAACGAAACATATAGATCGAAACATAGTGATTCGATGATTATTTTTTTTTTTATTATTATTATTATTATTATTATTATTATTATTTTATTTTTATTTTTTATCCGCGGAAAAGAGATCCACATGGAAATGGATTTTCTGTGAATAATCGAATCATAATTTTGATAGATATAACTTTCAGGAAAAATGAATTGAAATGTAGGTACTCTGTAAATGATTGATTAAGCATGCTAGCTTAAAAGTCGGTTACACGAAACGTAAAATCTAAAATCGCGTGATTAGTTTTGTAAACGAGTAATATGGAACGTTATAAAATCTATTTTTATTAAACATGATATAAGATCACGTGAAAATAATTTTTACTATAAGCTTGATCCTTTTTCTGTTATCCATTGAAATAAATTATCACTCTTTTATGATCCTCAAATAATCATCTTCAAAATATTTTATTGTCTAACCGTTCTTCTTTTCTTTTTTTAAACATAAAAGGTTTTTAATGAATGTAATTTGATACATCTGTTAATTTGTAAGTTAAAAATTTGTGGTATACTTATTCGCACGAGCGTATATTAAACAAACACAAAGACGTGTATGTTAATGTTACATTCTTCGTTATCCCCCTTTTTAACCGATGAACAACAAAAAAGAAAATAGAAAAATAAATAGAAGTTCTACGACTAACCCGTATAGCTAGGATTTCCATGGCACAATCATAAGAGAAGGTACACATTTTCATTGCGCATGCGTCTGTGGTATAAGGAGGGAGATAAACATAAAGGAAAGGGAGAGAGAGAGAGAAAGAGAGAGGGGAAAATTACTCCCCATCTTGCACCAAAGCATTATTCTGTAACGATATTCCTTGTGGGGTAGGTCGAACAAGATAGCGTTCGGTAATTCCAGTCGAAAGCATATTAAACAAATAAGAAAAAAAAACAAATATATATCGTTGAACGATAAGAGATTAGTGAAAATATAATATTTTTAAGTCAACATTTTTAAAAATTGTGGAAAAAAAAAGAAATTCAACAATTTTTAATCTCAATATTTTTTTTTAATTCAAAAGAAAAGGAAGTTTTCTTTTTAATGATTTTTTTTTCTTGATCAGAGATTATTTTCGTTTAAATATTGGCAGTGAAGAAAATTCGTGGCATTTGTTTCTTATTATTTTTTCGAACAGTGACGCATTTAGATAACAAGACAACGGAACGTTAAACGAAAAGAAAGAAAAGTTATTTGGTAAGTTTTATTACCGTTCAGAAGTTAAATAATATCAGCGTTGTTTTATCAATGATTTATTTGCACATTGATAAATCATTTTTCGAATGAAATAATTGAATGAAGGAAATATACAGAAAAAGTTTAACATTGGCATTGATGATGTATCGTATTCTCCTCTTGAGAATCTAATTGTAAGTTCGTAGAATTCTTTTTACTACTAGGTACACATTCATGGTTAAATATCCGTCCACGTGTACGCGTGTAACGTGATATAAACCATGTTATTGATTTTACGATGCGGTGTCTAGCATGAGATTCGTGTGCGCGCGCACCCATGCACGATGGTCCATGTAAACGAATGGGATCGCGCGAAAACAGTCTCACGTATAGGAAAATGACACACAGAGATACATTCTTACATGTGTTTTCTGTTTTTTTAGTTCGTAGTAATATTTCATACGAGAGAATGAGTGTTTAGTAGAAGATCTTGTTAGTGACTAAACAGGGCGACATAACTTACATGATTTATAGGTGTAATCGGTTTAATTGAAAGTAGGTTATATTTTTGTTTAAATTATACCTCAGACGGAAAATATATATATATGTATATAAATATGTATCTATGTAGAAAATAAAAATACAATGATAAAATGAATTTTAAATTTATTATATTATAAAACGAACAAGCGCTTTTTTATCAGCTTATTGAGAAGTAAATTATAATAATTAAATATATTAATAATAATATTGTTCTTCTCTCGTTTATGATAATCAAGTAAATATTTTTTTCTTGATGTACGTGATGCTATCTTGTTATTTTTTTGTTTACAATTTGTTATTTAATTTACTATATGTTGAATTTTAGATAAACGTTAGTTGATCAGGCATGTAACTCATTTCGGATCAATCATAAGAGATGTGAGAACATGTAATTAGTATCCGTGTATAATGCAAACAATATTGCGCATAAAATTTCTGAACACGTGTTCGTCTTGTTATTCCTTTTCTCGTTCCTTCTTTTTCAGTAGACTCGTTTTATCCACCGTGTGTATTGTTGTGGAGAACAATGAAAGAAACCGGTATGTGCATGCGTGAGAAAATAATGAAAAACAAAAAAGAAAACGAATTTTAAAGGAAATATAAAGTCGTCAAAAGAGAGTTATTAGATAAAAATTTGTATAACATATTTGTTTAAATAACGGTTAAATAACATGTAAAATGTAATTCATAGTAAATAAGATAATCAGTCTTAAAAATATTATAATAAGAGGTTGTACTTCTTATATTAAGAAAAGACATTTACTATATTATTAAAAAGCAATATTACAAAAAACATAATATTATTAATGATAATACATTAGTATTATTATCTGATAATTTCGATTTTTTTAATATAACCATCTATAATCTTAATTTTTGTCGTGACTATAAGAAATTGTATTTAACCAGTTAGTTTTTATAGACGAGTGTACTCGTCAAGAAGAAAAAGTAGTTGTCATATGCAATTTATATTGTAATTTTAGTGCAAACTAGAATATATTTGTAAATTTTAAGATATTAAAATTATTTGGAGACGAAGACGAAATAAAATGAAAAAAACATTATAAATAATTATTATGAAAATTCTATATTTAAATTGAACAAAGTAAAACAAACCCGGCCAACTAAACCTAACGATAGACGTTTATTCGTGAAATATTTTTCCGATTATGTGCCAATCACATCTTCCAAAATCAATCCTACACGGAGTTATTTATATTCCTAAAAAAATAATATTCGAAAAAAATCAAGATATTGATGTTCCTACTCAATATCATTAAAAAATAGCAGATTAAGCTTTTAACTAATCACTTTTCTAAGAAATTGATTTTTGTTATTATTTGCTCCTATATGCAAATTATATGTTTAAATTAAGATATTCGTCATTAGCTTTTTTTTGGTAGCACAATTAAGATAAATACTTTTGAAAGAGGTTGCTGAAGCTAACTAGTAAATTTCAAGTTGAAAAATATTAACATTTAAATAAACATTAAAAATTAATTTTTTTTTAAATGTTTAAAAATAATAGATTTTCTTCAATATTTTATGTTATAGAGTTGATAATTTTCATAAACAATTTTATCAGTTTAATAAAAAGTTATACAGTTTGGTAAAGACAAGGCTTCGATATTTGAAAAGCTTACAATACTCACCGAGACGAGTAAGAAATGTCTAATTAACATGGCTTTTAGAATCAACCCTTACGATGTAATTAAAATTTTACTATTTATGAGCGTTCGATCGAGCCCTTCGACATAAGCCCTTGAAATATCGAATCCTTTTTTTATCATCCTGTATTGGACAGTATGTGTACGTCACACACACATTGGAAAAAATATTAAATTAAATAAGAAAAAATATTGATATATATTCTGATAATTATGACAGTTAACAAAGTAAAATAATTGAAAATATTGATTATATTATAAATTAAATGATAAAACAAACTTTTTTAATTTTATAAAATAACAAATTATTGTGTAGGATAAGAATATAGTGTGGGGGTACACAAACTTTTCCTTCCGAGGGCCGCATACGTTCGTTTTTTTATTTAAGAAAGTATGTTTTTATGTTAAAATCATTTTAACATACATAACAAAAGTAAAAAACGATATCTTACAAAAATTTAAACAGATAAAATATAAGCTATGATTTGTTATAAAAAAATATAAGTCTAATCATAATTTTTATCTACAGATGTATATATATCTAATTTTCGGTTATTAAAAAATTTAAAAAAGACCAATCAGCATAACATTTTCACATACGTTCGTTTCCTATATTAAGCGAGAAATAAAATGGGTCAAAAACAATAGGCGTATTTAAACATTGATATGATTTTTTGTGTTGTTTATAAGATCGATCAATCCTTATGGCGGAGTTTTGTAGGGTGGAGGTCAATTTTGGTTACTAAAAAAGAAAAAAATTACAATTTATGACTGGGTCTTACGTGGAGCATTTGAAAACTTGTCGAGCCACAGATTGAATATGGCTAATGCATTGTGTATGCATGCGCTGGAACACAGATCTGATAGGTATATCGTTCTCAAACAAAGAAAAGAAATGGTAGGTAGAGTGAGATAGCTTCTTGGGTGTATAGTGCTTGGGAATGAGTGTGTGTCTGTGAGCGAGCGACTGTTATACAAAACAGCGATTATCTATCTTATATTTTGATACGTGTCAACTTGAGTTTATTGAACATGTACGCGTATGATCTGAGGAGTGTATGTTTCGTGAAGAGAGAAAAGAAAATATATAAAGCAAAATCAATTTTTTTCAATTTTATGATATAAATGTACCGATAATTATAATAGTGGACTACGTCAAAAAATTGAAAATTATTTGATTTCAGTAATTATTTTAAAATCTAAATAATGATAATATAAAATTAATTTAATATTACACTAAAATAAATAAAATGTTTAAAATAATAAATTATAGATAAATTATCTGTAGAAAACAATGAATAAAATAATTTGGTCTATTTTTTTTAAAATTCTTAATTAAGTAAAGTCAAATTGATTGAATGTTTTCACTTACAATTAGTCTACTGTCATAATTATTGACACAATTATCGTTATGCGATTAAAAAGTTACACGGGTCTAAAGAGGCTTAATTATTATCAAAACAATGAAAAAAAATTAACAAATAATTTTACTGCATGAAGGTCACTTTGCGTATTTTTTTGTTCTTTTATTAAATAATAATTTAGCAGTTTGTTGTAATATCCTCTCTAATAAAAGCTACCGTCATATAATCAAGAATTGTATGCTATCAGAAAAAAGATTATCCAATGACACGATTCTTCGTGAAGGAGTAATTTATATAATCGCTAACATCGCCATGTTTCTAATCGATCATGCGACATTAAGAGATATGCATCGTATGTTAAAGGTCATGTAAATCCATTCACTACCCTTTTACAATTCTTAGAATTGTATTATTATAGGATTCATATTAAAAGCTGTGTCCTCAGTTTAACTTTCAGGGGACCACTGTTTCAAACAATTAAATTATTCAGATCCTTAGTTTTGTATGCTTAAATTAGAAGAATTAATGTACCTGTCCTCGTATTAGAAGTATTTGAATATAAAGTAAACCATTTGAATAATCAGGATATTTGAAAAAAATTTGCAATGATTATCATCAATAAATAAAGAAATATTGTAATGATTAAAATAAACAAAGATGAGTAAGGGGCATTCCACACCAAATCGGCCAATTTTTAAATGACCCCTTTCGATTCAGCTAAATATTTTATGTTATTGATTTTTTTTTATTTTTACGACCACTCTTTTTTTTATATATGAATTTGTTTAGAAATTTGAGGTTCTTTTTTGAATGCTTTTAATTTTTTGAAAAATTTACCTACTCAGTTGTCTTTTCCGAATTGTTTATTTCTAAATGTTTATAGATGTTATAAAACCTCAAATTTTTAAAAAAATTTATATCTCAAAAAAAAATGGTCAAAAAAATTTGAAAAAAATCACGAATACGTCTTTGGTCAGGTCTAATAACATATACAATTTTTAACTGAATAGAAAGGGATCATCTAAAAAAGTGGCCGACTCGGTGTGTAATGCATCATAAACAGATATTTAAATAAAATTTATTTTCAATAGCAGAGTCGTTTTTTGTTTTAGAAATAATGGCGGAAAAAATGTATTATTGGGGGGAGGAAAAGAATCAGCCTGACTCCGATCAGACCTTCATAGAATTCAAAGCTAAATCTACGGTAACGGAAAATAAAAAGAGGAAAGAGGAATCACGTGCTGCCACGAAAACGTCGTCGTCTGCTATTCAAGGAAGATCAACAGATTTTGCGAGCCGTGAAGAAGATGCAGAACGCGGTGGATGGGATAACAAACTAGATTTCCTCTTTTCGTGCATCAGCGTTTCTGTTGGCCTTGGAAATGTTTGGAGATTTCCTTACCTTTGCTATAAGAACGGTGGTGGTAAATTAAAATTAACATATATTAATTAATACGAAACATAAAATTGTTTTTAAAAGCTTGTTGAACGTAGGAATATTTTTACTTTTTTCAATTTAATTTGCATCTTATTTTGCATACAAGAGAGATGTGTTTTAAATAATTCAACTCTAATCTCGATTATTCATTTAATCTCGATTTATTTGTGTTGTTTGTTCTCCGATCACGCTGATTAATCAAGGTTCTACTGTTCTTTGAACAAAATATGTTTACATTTTCAAATACAATAGTTTATTGTTTTCAATGACAGATTTTCAAAAAGCTAAAAGGTTAATACGATTATTTTCTTTATAAAAATGATATAGTTTACATGGTTTTCGATAATTTATATTGTTCGTCTTCCAAGATATTACATTCTCTATTAGATATAGTTAAAAGTAATATCTTATTTTCAAAGAATTAGTTACAATTTTAGGAAGGTGATGACGCGTTTGAAATTACTTTACGTCAACATTAAACAGTGCACCTAGAATAATTTGATACTCATATTCTGTCGATAATGTTGTTTATAAGCTCTATGTAGCTGTACATAAATTATTAAAATTAAAAAGTTTATTTAAATTCTTTCGGATCGATATGATAATAAATTATGACATACAATATTAGTTTTGTAAACAATAATGTTAACAAAATATAAAAGAATGTCTATTTTCAGGCACTAGAATTATAAATATATATAATAGATAAATAATAATTTCAATTCAAATCCAACAATAAACGAATTAATTATACTAGAAATTAATTAGAAATAATTTATCGTTCAAGTTGCACAATTATTAAAATGAAAAATTAAGAAAATTTTCTATTCAATTATTTATAAATTTAAAGCTATTTATTATTTATAATGACAGAACGTATTACCATTGATAGATCTTAAAAGATTAATCACGTTTATCTCAACTTGTATTTAATGATTATTGAGTAACAATTAGGTATAATTACTCAAATATACACGTAGCCACAATGGTTTACGTCTACTTCAGACAAAAAAAATACATAGTTTAATTTTTCGCAGGTGCATTTCTTATCACTTACGGTATAGCTATGCTGTTTTGTGGGATACCAATATTTTTTCAAGAAGTCGCTATTGGACAATATCTTGGATCTGGTGGAATGACTCTTCTTAGTCAATTGTGTCCCTTATTACAAGGTAGATTGTAGAAATCATTGTTTATATGATCCTGATATATTTGATAAAAAATTATCATTGTATTTAATCTTTTGCAGGTGTAGGATATGCCACGATGACTATTGTTTTTTTTCTTGACATATATTACTGCATAATTATTTCCTGGACTCTCTTTTATCTTATAAGCACGATCATTAATTTACCTGGTGTCCCTTGGAGTAGTTGTGGTAAATATATTATATTATACATTATACTAACAATATAGAAATATATATAGGATATCCGGGAATTGGTGATACAAGCGAGCAGGGGGTGACTCTACATGAACAATTAAGTAAAAAATAAAAAATTAAATTTGTTCATACAATGCTTTGTTTTCGAGAAAAATAAATTCGAAAATTTGTCAAGTACGTGTGCACTTGATTTAGTTTCAGCTATCTTACTCTCGGATATTTTGGAAAGTATATTTGTGATTCTTAATGTGTTTATAAACATTATCAGTATGACGATTTCTCTTGTATCAGTTATTCTTTTATACTTACTGAACAAGGTTTTCAGTTTTCAAGATTACAAGCTCAGTCAAGTGTACGTGTACTCGACATATTTTTAAACTTATTTTTGTCAAAAACAAAGCCTCATATGAAAATTTTTTATTTTATATTTTCGATTAATTTTTTCACATAGAATCACCCTTCCTGCTCGCTTATATCACCAATTACAGGACATTCTGTATACATCAGCAAAAATATATTTGTATATCATAATAAATAGAAAGTGTTTTTAAAATTAAGACATTTAAATATCTTGGAAAAGAAAGTTTGAAACAGAAGTTGTTTTGTATTTGGGACAAACTTAATAGTATAATTTAATCATGAAAACAACTTTTGTTTCAAACTTTCTTTTTAAATATGCATTGTTTCTGAAATATTTTTAAGTGTCCTAGTTTTAAAATTTCTCCCCGCAGATACATATAGAAATATACTTGTATATATATAATTATAAGATATTTATTATAATTATAAATGAAATTTTCTTTTTTCTCTTAGGTCATTGGTGGAATACGGAAAATTGTTTTGACGCATCGACAGAAAGTAAAATGATTTCTGATGCAAACTATACCAAGAATATAACTTATCATCACACTACTCCTGTAGAGGAATTTTACGAGTAATTAATCATTTTTTTTATATTCATAAAAATTGGACAAATATTATCTGGATATTTATGTTTATATTTTTAGACGACGAGTTCTCGGAATCACAGCTGGTATCGAAAACATCGGTGGAATGCAATGGGAACTTCTAGGTTGTTTGATACTCGGCTGGCTACTCGTTTACTTGATCATCCGACGTGGTCTTCATCAAAGTGGTAAGATCATCTGGTTTTCAGCGTTGTTCCCGTACGTGGTGCTTTTCATTCTTTTGGGAAGAGCGGTGACCTTGGATGGATCCTACGATGGTTTACTATATTACGTGACACCAAGATGGAAGGAATTGTTAAGTCCCGGACCGTGGATCGATGGAACAACACAAATTTTCTTCGCTTACAGTATCGGAACTGGCGCCTTACCTGCTTTAGGATCTTACAATAGATTTCATCACAATTGTTATAGGTAAAACAATATTTAACGTAACCACGTTGTTTCAGTCCGAAATAAACATTTCTTTCTTCCCTTTGTAACTCAAAAGTTGACCTCGTGATTCAAATTCTCGTCGCGACCCTATTCGTTTTTAACACGTTGACTGCCATGTAGGTCACCGGTGACCTCAACACGACCAATAATAAAAATACATAATTAGAGTAAATATCGATACTGATAAATGTTTAAATAATACCATTGTTTTTATAAGGGTTTGTGAAGAAAATAATGACATACCGAGCATGCAAAAATAATTTTATTAATACAAGGAAAATATACATGACATGTAACGACATTTTTTCTGTACGTAATTGCTTGATAAAATGCAATCTTCATCATGAGAAAATTTCAATTAATAAATCGCTAACTTCATCCTAATATCGGAAATTAAAATATTTTTCGAGTTATTTGTTTATACAACACCATTTAATTAAAAACACAAGTAATCAGTAAAAGCCCTATTGTCGATTTCCTGTTACATTTTATAGATTTTCGCAGTGATGAACTATAAGCAGTCATTTGATCAAACAAATCAATTACAGATTTCCATAAATTTTAATCTACTATCAGTTTTGGACAGTTTGAAACAACTGATAATCACAAAAATGGTCTATAACGCCTCTGGAGTCACCAGTGACTTCACCACAAATAATGCATTAAACACAATTATACAACTCCCTTTATCTGGTGTCTAAAAAATTTCAACAAAATATGCATCCCATAATGAAAAATTCATGTAGGCGCTACGGAAAAATAACGTGAAATGCGAGCGGCAATCAACGTGTTAATTATAACTTAGTTTCACATTCATTATCTCTGTTTTCTCGTTGACCTTAGACTTTTTAACTCCTAACTTTTTCATTCAACCCTCAACGCTTTTCTCCGTTTTTATTAATTAGCTTGATCAAAAGGATTCTTTTTCCTAAGTAAAATGAAAAGAAATGCAATAAGTGAAAAAAACAAACCTGTTTATACAGGCTCGATCAATAACAAAGTAACCTTCTCCGTTGAAATCTTTGAAAAAGTAAGTTTTATCTTCCAGAGATGCACTAATTACTTGTGTAGTCAACACTCTAACTTGTCTTCTGGCTGGGTGTTTGACATTTTCGATATTGGGTCACATCGCTTTGGAACAAGGTACTGAGGTCTCTGAGGTCGTGAAGAGCGGACCTGGTCTTGTGTTCCTCACCTATCCTGAAGTCGTTCTAAAGCTTCCTGGTGCTTCGATTTGGGCTATTATATTCTTCGTCATGCTTCTCGTAAGAAAATTATTGTTCCAGTGAGAGACTTATTATGTCTCTCTCTCTCTCTCTGTCTTTCTCTATCTTCTTCTTCAAAAAAAAATTACACTTTTTTACAAAATATTATATTCTTCATACTTTTTAACCATTTGTGCTTCGAACTCAATACTTTGTCATTATCGATGAATATTATAGTTTCGTGTTTTTCACGATACTAAAAGACAATATATAATAATAGAAATTATTTTATAAATAAAACAAGTTAAAGATAGAACATTTTTAAGGTATTCGTAGATAATAGAGCTCTCTTCGTCAATTTTGATAATCTTGAAATATATTATCAAGGTCAACATCCTGAATAATTTTTTTTATATATATAACTCGATTTTAATTTTCGAGATATAAAGGAAAATATGTCTAGCATTTTATCTCCGTATATTAATTATTAATTATTTATTAAAGGTTTCTTTAAAAAGATTAGATTTTAAATTGATTACAATGTACAGTGTACAAATTACAGTGTACAAGAATGTGTCAATAATTGACCATAATATAGGATAGTTCACGCAACTTGCACGCCTCTATAAGTTCCAAAGTATGTGTTGCACGAAAAAGTTTTGTATACAAAAGTTGCATGGTTTGAACAGATACATCATGCAGTATAATTATTTTTTGGTAATCTTGTTTTTTTTTAAGAGGGAAAATACCTTGAAACAGGCGAATGTTATTCGATTTTAATGAAATTTTTGTAAAGAATAATTCATTCTATATTTTTGAAACTTGGCGTATGGTTTATTGATACTTTTAATTATTAAAAAACAATTTTTCCTTTTTTTATACTTCAAAATAAAAAACTCCGAAACTTTTCCACCTTTAAAAACAATAAATACACTATATAATATATCCCTTCAAACTATGCAACTTTTTTATACAAAAATTTTTTGCGCAACGCATACTTGGAAAATTATAGAGGTGTGCAAGTTGAATGGGTTACCTTATATAATAAGGTTTTTTTTAGTTTTACTGTTATATTCTTATATATTGGTATTTATGATTTTTTTCCTATCACAGGACAGTATTAAACAAAAATTAGACAGGATTATGGCTCATTGATACACTTTTATACAACAAAAAGTGAAAACCCATAAATAAATAATGTAGTAATGCATAAAATTGATAATACAATCCACTTACAAAAGAATATTATTACATTGTGAAATATTATAAATTTACCTTTACATATTAAACTTTATTGAATAGTTTTAGGTTTTGATTTGGTTAATAACTAAAAATATTTTTGTTATTATATGAATAAATATTATTATTTGATCTTACCCTCTCTAAGTCAAAATAAATAAATATTTACATTAGCACTTTACATGTCACAGGGAGTCACCGGTGCCCGGCGAAACCAGTATTGCTAGAAACATAATATAATTCGAGTAATTATTAAAGCTTTTAGATTTTTCAATATTACAATCATTATTAATATGCAAAAATTAATGCAATGTACGCTATGCATAAACAGTTTTATTTATATTTATATATGGGGCATTCCGCACCAAGTTGGCCACTGTATTAGGTAACCCCTTTCGATTCAGTTGAAAAATTTGTCATTAGGCCCGACCAAAAACGTAATCATGACTTTTATCAAATTTTTTCAACCATTCTCTTATGAGATATAAATGTTTTTAGAAATTTGGGTTTTTATAACATCTATAAACATTTAAAAACAAACAATTCGAAAAAAAGCAACTGATTTGGTGAAATTTTTCAAAAATTACGAGCATTTAAATAAAAATCTTAAATTTTTAATAAAATTTATATATAAAAAAAAGTGGTCGTAAAAATAAAAAAAAATCAATAATATCCCATATATATAACATATATGGTTATATATTATGCACGCATATTGCAATATATCGTATTTAAATACTTTAAATAAAGGAAAAGCGAATCAATATTGTTAACATAAATCAATATAAATTTTAATAAATCTTATATTTAAATTTATTGATTAATTAAAAATTATTTCGCGCTAGCTAAATTTTTAATTAAACTTTTTAATGAATATTACGGAAACAAGCGGCAGTTATACGTATGAGAACAAAATAATCAGAATGTTGACCTAGAGAACATGGTAATCGAAATCAGAGAGGTAATACTTATTCTGCATGATTACCAATTTTTGTTCTATTTAATACTTGTTTGTTTTATTGAATGGGAATTTTCTGTTTTTTTTTCTTTTAGTAATGAAAATAATTTCAATTTGTGCAAGTAATATGTTTTACTTTTTTATTTTTTGTTTATTTTTTTTTTAATAAAAAAATGTAAGATTATTGGATTAGAATAATCGTTTTCTTTTACAGGAAACCAAATAAATAGAGTTCTTTTTCCTTTCTTTTTATTTCTTCATAAGATCGAACAAATTTGGAAAATAACTCGTATAAATAAATGATTTGGCAGCAGAGTAAACATATTTGTTCGTCGTTACACAATGTTACACAAGAGTATGTAAAATAAAAATTAATTAAAAGTATTTAAATTTAATAATAATTATGACATTTTTTTACTATAGATTCTCGGAATCGATAGTGAATTTTGCATCGTTGATTCGTTCATCACCGGTATCATTGATAATTGGCCGAATCTTCGTCCTCATCGAAGCAAATTTACCATCGCCATATGCATTCTCATGTTTTGTTTAGGACTTCCCATGGTGACAAATGTTAGTTATTTTTCAAAATATTTAAATATATTTTACATTATCGAATTGACATTTAATTATCAAATGTTTTTTTTCTTTTTCAGGGAGGCGTTTATATTTTTCAACTAATGGATTTCTATTCGGCAAGTGGAATGTCGATTTTATGGGTATGCTTTTTCCAAACGATAGCAATATCATGGTTTTTCGGAGCACAAAAATTCTGCGACTGTGTCCATCAGATGATGGGAATACGATTGAATAAATTTTGGTATATTTGTTGGATCTTCTTTGCGCCAGTGATTATGGCAGTGAGTATAACTATGAAATAATAATAATAAATTCTTATTAGATGTCTAAAATATTTTTTGTCGTTATTACAAATAACATATATCGTTAATATATGTTTGTTTTCAGTTTATTTTCATATTTCAATGCGTCCTCTATAAACCATTGAAATATGGAAACGATTATGAATATCCAACATGGGCAGAAATCGTTGGTTTTTGTTTAAGTATTTCATCAATGATTTGGATACCACTTTATGCGATTTATTATGTCTTTGTTACACCAGGATCGATTAAGGAGGTGAATATTTATAATTATAGAATTTTCTTATTTATGTTTTTTTTTTCTTATTAATGTTAATCAATAATTGTTTTATTTGTAGAACATTTTGAAGGGACTAAAACCCAACTTAAAATCTAATCCGAAATTACCGAAGGGAGAAAAGTCAACAGTAATGCCGATGTCGGAAAGCAGTGCTGGCTTAATAACAAAGAACAGTAGTTTTTTAAGTCAAACATGATTAAATTTAGGAATGTTCTTGTAACTGTTTAGATCGAGAATAGTATTTAAAAATGAAATTTATCTTCGCGAATAATTTATGCAAATTTAGAGAAGTAACGGTGTAGTTGAAATATTTTGTTTTTCGTTTATAATATACAAATTTACTTATCAGCTTGTTTTTTTTTCAGATGTAATTTCAGTTCTTTTAGTTTGTTTCAATAACTAATTTCTTTTTTGAGAGGAATTTTATTAACATTGTAAAGAACGAGGGCTGTGCGATTTATAGGACAGATTTGTTTTCTTTGATCAATTTAATGTTCAATAGTAGATAAGTGTTGAAAGGAAAATATGCATGAAACAGTATTTCTGACCATGACAAAACAAGATATTCGATGAAATATCAATTTCGTCAAACTTAGAATTAGTATTTATGTGAGAAACGATGACGAACCTAAGTCTTTTTAAATGCTTTCTGTTTTACATACAAATTTTGTATTTTTTATTTTCACATTACATTGTTATGACAATGAAAAATGATATTTCTAGTAATAATGTAATATTAACATAAATAATATAATTGTTATGCACATCTTATACGATTCACTGGTGTGCATTGCACTGTAAATCAAAAGATTTTTATACCAATTTATAAAGAGATGAATGAAGATTAGTTTCAAGGTTACAACCGTACGAATTGTCATAGGTCATAAATTATTATATAATTTTTATACGTTAAACTACGTGTGCGAAACAACAGTTACAAAGAATGTAATATTTTATTTTGATTATTATCTATAAACACAATCGCCGTTAATTAATTGTATTAATCTTTTTCATTCGTTGTATTTATAATCCGAAAGAGTATTAAAACTGGAGATTGTAATTGTAAAGAAAGGTAAACTTTTCTAAGCTCTTAAATGTACAGAACAAATATTATGATAAAAATCTATAGAACAGTTGTGTACCTGCAAAAGAATTTCTTTAATAGCGATCATTTTTGTTAGAATTATTGAGTAATTATAAATTAAATATGATAATAATAAAATTCGATGAGAAAAAGACTACACTTCTATAATTCTTATTTCATTCTTCCTTTCACATATGTACCCATAATTATGAAAATGGTCTCAGTCATATATCTCTTGTTTCGAGATATTTAAAGGATTACATTTGAATACTAAATGAATTCTATATAATATTGAAATAACAAACACTATCTAACGGTTTATTTTTGGCAAGTTCGTGAAAATTACATTGAATTAAATTAGTTTAAAATAATGTGGTGTGAAATAACTAATAAACTCATTTTTTTTTAATTTTGACTTAGACCACTTTTATAATTATAGCCACATATTTCCTCTATTATTTTATACAAATTTTTAACGACAATTTTCGAATGAAAGAAAATCGTTAGGTGTATAATATCGTTTCTAATAGTAGGTAAATCAATTTACCTTGATCTAATTATGTTCCAATACTACCGCTTAATATGTTGACATTAAAAAGGAGAAGAGATATTTTTAAATTGAACGTATTAATACATTTTCATAGGTACTTTCATGACTAAAAAGCATGTAGTTTCTTTCGACGTGAAAATTAACGTATATTATGCATAGAATTTAATAGTTCACTGAATTTTTATTGATGCTGGATTAACTTTATTAACATTAAGATAAAAAAATACAAATTCTTTACGTGTTACTTTTGATAACAATATTTCTCCCTAACGTAACGCTTATACTTAAGTTCATTCACCTCTTTTCCTTTATCGTTAGAAAATTTTTTCTAGAATTAATCTGATATACACGCAGAGGTACACACATTCATGTATACATTTACATACCACATTCACTACACAAATTGCAGATACATATATATATATATATATATATATACCCACGCATACAAAACGTTCAGACAATACACAAAAAACTCACTCAACACACACAAATATAGGTACAATCATATCGCATTGAAGCTGACTTCAAAAGGTAGTTTTTTTGGTTGGAAAATATAAGTACTTCTTTGTTAGGAATCAATTAGCATAAAAATTCGAAGAAAGGATCGAAAAACTGAACTGAAACATCATTTCCTTATAACTGGGGATCGATCGAGAAAGTTCGCTAAATGTAACACGCATACAAACGAACAGTTTTGAAACTTTGTAATAGTCCATATTTATAATTTTCACATTCCATTTCTGACATAATTGGCTATCATGTTGTTCAAACCACTTTTCGTAATGATTCAACTTCGACTTCATTTAACAGAAGAACTTCTATTTTAACGTCTGAATTATCGCGAGATTTCTGTTCTAGTTTTATTTTATTTAGAATACTATGGATGTGTTTTGTATAATCATAGTTTAATAAAATAACAAAAGAGAAATAGAGAAAAATAGTATTTTAGTTGATATACGATCATAATAATTTTATCATCCGTGTACCCAGGTGTAGTTTCGAAGATAATTTAAAAGTAAATTGATTGGATCGATTTTTTTGACAGTTTTTTTATCACACCTCTCTGTTTTCAATCACACCATAATAAATACAATATTTCCATTTGACTTGCCAACGTAGATGAAATGAATCAAAGTTATTTGACAGGCGAAAATAGGGTGAAAAATTTTTTTTAACGAAATGATGCTCGGTTTAAATAATAAACAAAAAAATTTGCATCGGTTATTTTATTTTTTTTCAATTCAATTAACAAAAAACTAAAATTAATATAAAGAATTTTCATCTTGAAGAATTTTATAAGGGAAAAGAAGAGAAGTAAAAAAAAAAAGGCAGGCAGATACGTGCTCAGGGTGAAACCTTTTCACGAATTATCATATATCTTGAGAAAGGCGATTCATCATAGCATCGCTCACAATAAATTGCGAGGAAAAATAAAAGTCAGGGAATAGAAAAGGTAGGAAATGTCGAGTAAGGCGTCACGCAATGCGTGACATCGTCACGATACCTTTTTCTTCCTCTTTTTCTTTTTATTAAAGGTGGAGAAAAAGGTCGTAAAAGAACCCACGTCTGTTCCTTTCAAAATTTAAAGGCTTATAGATTCCTTATATCGTTCCTTTTCTCCAAAATCGAGCTCGATCAAATATACGTTCATAAAATATTCAACAATGCAACGCAATCCTCCTTGCTTTCTAATGAAGTTAATTAAATATCTTGCAGTCTGTGAAAATTTCTCATTACAAAATTGAACCGGAGCGTTGTATACAACGTTTTGCATTCTTTTCAAATTACCTAAATATATATGGAATGAAATACCGTGCACGTTTAAGAAAAAATAAGCAGATTTATCATTGACCAAAGTCATTTGATTTTCATTAAATCAGTTTAAATGCGATACGAGAGAGGAAGAGTCAGAAATAGGATAAGTTGAAAAGGCTAAAGATAGATCTTATACATTTTATGATCCGTTATCAAATGACCGACTTGTTGAATACGATCTTAGTATTTTCGTGTAGAATATTCTGAGGAACACGAAATGAAAAGCTTAAGGAACCTTTGGCAAACAGGACGCTACTTGGGCGTATATGGTTCGAACCCGTCGTCATGACGACACCCTTCGACGCCTTTATGTGTGTGTGTGTGGATGCTCTGTTTCAAATAATATACCTAACGGTCGAAAGATTGCAGTTAAACCCTTCGTCCTTTGCCCTTCCTTCCCTCTTTTCTTCAAGAAAGAAAGAAAAAGGGAAAAAGGAAAGAAATAAGTAAGAAAAATCTTAACTTACACGTAACGTTCTAAAAAATAAATTCATTCTTTTTATATTGTTTTTTAATATTAATACTAACTCATTTATTATTATATTGTATAATAGTTCCTATCGTTTATCTTTTGAAAGTATGAAAATAAATATTGTTTTTTTCAATCGATTATTTTCTTCTTTACTCAAGGTCATTTTATTTTTTAAATTTTGATTGTAAGTCTCGTAATATAATGCTTTTTTTCACGATTTTATATATTCTTAGAGTTTATATATTTTCGTTAAATATTTTATATATTATTGTAGAGGTATGATAAATATTTTTATCGACATTTGAGAGTAAATCATTGTCAATTTTTTATGTGTATCACTTATTGAGTATTCTAACGCGATAACCAATTATTTACAAACTTCGTGTTAGAGTTTTAGAAATTTAATGAAGATATCCAGGTTTTCTCAGGTCTCGTACAAGTTTAGAACTAAGCATTCTTTGGCCTTTTTCTAATAAATTTATATTTTACGAGGATTGTGTGTGTGTGAGTGTAAAAAGTCGGTCGTGGAAAAAGCCGAAGTAGGTAGGAGACCAGCAGAAAATGTATGGTTTTCTTATATACATACATACAACCACTTCTTTCCTTAAAAGCGCCTACGACACCAGTACTGTACTGTACTTGCTTTGCCTAAAGCACTTGAAATATTTAATATTTTATACGTGAGTGCTTGATACTTTAAAATATCTCGACTGACTTTTGTATGCTTAATAAACTCTTCGGGAATTTTTTCGAATTAAAAAATCAATCTTTTTTTTCATGTAAAAATAAAATATTATCAAATTAAATAAAAACAACGACTTAAATAAAATTACAAGTACAAATTTTTACATATCAAAGAAATAATTTGTATAATAAATTATCAAGTGCAGATGACTGTAATTATAATAATTATCTGTTTGTTTTTATTATCGTTATGACATTATATGACATAATTTATGTAATATAAAATTATTTGAATAGTTATATAATTATTATTTTATAAGAATAGATTCGTAAGTTTACCAAAAGACGGATTGGATTCCGTAATATTTTTCTGTTGTAATACATGACATGTTTTATTTCCAGTCTCAGAGCTTATGTAAGCTTAATAAACTTATACAAAAGTAGCTAATATTTTGTTAGAGATCGAAATAAAATATTTTGTATCGTTGTTTAGCACATTTCTTTTTTCTTTCTTTCAAAAGACAATGTCAACAAAAGACATCCCAACCATGAGGATTTTACGTTTAATAAAATTTGGTTTTATCATTGCATGTGTATTACTTAGTATGATTTGCGGTATCGGTTTTCGCTTCGTACGTACCATAATTCCAGTGACCCAGGATCGATAAAGTGGAACCCTTTTATTTGTATTTCTAATTGCTATGATATAATTATTTACACTTTTTATAATGGTACATTTATCATACATTTATCAACAATCACTGAGTAAAAGTAGTATTATTGGAATTTGAATTTATGAATGCGTAGTGCTAGAGACTAATTTCAATAAGATCAATAGAGTGTTTTCTTTTCAGTTTTTTTGTTAGACTTGAGTAACGCAATGATAAACGAGGCGCAAAATAGCTGATAACAGTGGTTCTCAAAATATAATATTTTGATTTATATTTTCCCAAGATACCCTATGTCAAATTCTAACAAGTACACATTAAAAAATAACCAATAATATTTTACAAAAGTTTGGTAAATATAAAAAAAATACAAGTTAGTTCACGAAAAAATGAATTGAACAAATTCAATTAATTTTAATAATTAGTGGAACGGATGAACCAGTTGGTCACCGTACATTTATTTAAATCGTCGAATTAAATTGAACATTATCATAATGTTCAATTAAATAATCAAATATGAACTATTCTCATTTTATTTCCTTTTGTTTTCTTTCTTTACCAGTTCTCCCAGGTTGCTCAGGTGCACTCTTTGGGAACCACTGGCTTATAGTGAGAAACTAACAAGCCGACACTTCGTCTGTTCATATATAATGCGGTCTAATTAAAATCCAGGGCTATACCATAGTGTACTTCAAAAATATATTAAATTATAAATTTAATTAATAATAATATAATATAAATATTTTCAATATATATACAATAAATCATGACATTAATTTTCATTATTTCCTGATTTACAATTAGTCTACTGTCATAATTATCGGCACATATATTTGTCTTGCTAATGAATAACGTTACATAAAAATTGAAATATTTTTGTAGACTTGTTATCAATTAATGTGTAGATTTCTCTCTATGC